AGAGACACCTCTGTTGTTTCCATCCTGCCCGTTTGCTAGAGGAGTGTTGTGGGGCAGTGGTGGGAGAAGCACCAGGGAAGGGACAACCTTGTAATAATAACTTACATATTGTGAAAAAACTGGTCAGTAAGCTAGGCTTAAAGTATACACTTCTGTCTGTGGTGGTATTGGCTGAGTGCTTACAGAGAAGAGTGCCTGGGCTTCACAAGTATGGACAAGAGGGTGGGCAGCTTGATGTGTGTAAGAAGGGCGTCTCTTAACATTAAGAACAGATAGCAAAAGGGCTGAAATACAAATTGTTGCAATACAAATTGTTCCTTCTAGGAGCAAAGGCTTTTGGCCTGTGGTTTGTTATAGTGACTCTTTGTGTGCAGCCCTGCTTCTGGCACAGTGCAGTCCAGATACATTGTAGTGCGCTCACTCTGGCCTTTCTGTGCTAGGGGGAAAGGAGTGAGCTGGCTGCCATGCTGGGCTGCTGGGACCTGCACCGTCCCACATGCCCCCCTCCTCTTGGAGCTGGAGAAAAGCAGGATGTATTGGCTCTTTTTATTTGTCATCTTGCCAGTTTTGTGCTGACTCTTTCCTGCAGCATGTGAGAGGTAACAGAAATCTCTTTATGGTGTGGGGTTTCCTGCATGAAGTGTGTCTGCACTCGCATAGCGCTCTCCATACTACTTGGATTGACTGCTCTGCAGGAGGGAGGAATGTGGCAGCAGCAGTAAGTGGTTTAATGTGCTTGCTTTATTTGGCTTGAAATCTTGAGAAGTGGAAAGGGTATTTGTCTGAGGGTTGGGTTGCTTCTTTTTGTTCTGCTTAGCCCATGAATTCACCATTTCTCAGTGCATTTAGTGGCATTTTTAATAGAAAGAGGTAATAGGATTATAAGTGTTATATAAAAGAGGTGTTAAAAACTATTAGCTTCATGCTCTACTACAAATCTAATCTACTGAAAAGAAGGAAATGCCTGTGAAAGGAGCAAGTTTTGCCTTATGTGAAACTTGAGAGCTTGAACTCTCTTGCATAGAAAAGCTGATAAGCTGATGCTGTACCTTTGATGCTTTCTGCCTTGTCAGTTATAAAGAACTCAATTCTTTCTTGGGGGATTTAATGAAGAAGATTTGGAGCAGCATGAAAAGTTACAGCAGAGCTAACCCATTGCTGCTTTGATTTTGGTCTAGATGAAATACTAACTAATAGTCTGCAGAGATAAAATGCTAACTAATAATACAGATCTGATAAAGGCAGTGCCAAGAAACTCTTTCATGCTTCATTTCCTGCTTGAACTTAGGAAAGTTTTAAAAGTTAGGTTGAAATGAATCCTTCGTGCTGCTGAACCTGTTCTTCTGTCTGTGGAATTACTCTGTGAGCTGAAAGAAGTTGAAGGGTTTCTGAAAATCCTACATAAGAAACCTGTCCTTACTGGGCAGTATGGAACAGGTAGAGTCAGAAGATAGTTTGTGTAAGTTCAAAGTTAAGTTTCCATGCAGCAAATGACAGGATCTCTCTGGAGCTTTCCTGAGGCTGAATTGATTTAAATGAAAGGACATGAAAAGTAACATGTAGGCAGTGTGTTCTCACTGATTATTTATACTGTTACAAGTAACTTTTCTCCATAAGTGATCATGTGAATCTAGGCTTTAGCATAGTCATCAATTTATATCTAAAGACATATCAGGGGGAAGTAAGTGTTTGGAAAATAATGACTTTTTACCTACTCCAGTTCCATACCAAATCCTGTTCATGAGGTTACTTTCCTTCACTACCATCTGGCTCAGGGCTACCAGTAATCGATCTTCCTGCTGATAGTGTCTTTGTCTACCTATGAATTTGGCTTAGATCAGAAGGAACAACCTTCAGGCTACAATTTCTGTGTATCTCTGCCAGTGGCTTCAGTCAGGCTGCTAAACAAATGGCTGCCTTGACCCTGCAGGCCCTTATGTGGGGACGCAGCTTGTATGTATGTTACTCACTTGCTCTGTGCTTGAACAGCATGTCATACTCCAGTGTATGTGTATTTCTGAATGAAAATGGATGGGGTTCTAATGTTCCTGCTTTGTTTTGAAAGATGCCTTGTCCATGCTGGAGCCTTGCTGACTATTTTGGGGCAAGTTAAGGCTTTATGTTCATGCAAACAGGCTCAAGGATCAGAGCTGAACACCCTGTTCATAAAGGAATCGGAGCACTGCATGTCTGATCAGTTCCTGCAGGTAGCCTGTTCTGAACAGTGTTAGGAACTTCGGAGCAAGCAAGCAGGGATTGGCATATGCTTCAAAAAACCCAGCAGGCTACAGACCTTGTGTTTGCAGGCAAACTGCAGAGCTCAGAGACAAGGTGATGGTATAGATGTGATGCTGGGGAACACAGATCATGCAGTATTTATGTGCCTCACTATGATCATAGAATCATAGATGGTTTGGGTTGGAAAGGACCTTAAGATTATCCAGTTTCAGCCCCCTGCCATGGGCTGGGATTCCTCACACTAGACCAGGGGTCACCCAAGGCTCTGTCCAACCTGGCCTTGAACACTGTCAGGGATGGAGCATTTGCCACTTCTCTGAGCAACCTGTTCCAGTGCCTCACCACCATCACAGTGAAGGACTTCTTCCTTATATCCATCCTGAACTTCCCCTATTTTAGTTTGAACCCACCACACCTTGTCCTACTGCTACAGTCCCTGATGGATATGTGTGGAAGTGTGTTTGCAGTGTCTGCATAGAGATGGAGACCTTTCTCATTTCTTCACTGGATAACTGGGGAGTTTTTGTTTTTTTTTTTTATTTTATTTTTTTTGTTGTTTTTTTTTTTTTTTAGTTCAAATCCATTTCCTGGTTTTAGAAATGGGTACCATGATGTTTTTAACTGTGTGCCCTTCTAGTCAGGTGTGACTTTCTAAACTAGCTTTGGTTATGCTTCACTGAGAACTTCTTCCAGAAGAACAGTTGCTCTTTCTGTTCCTGTGAAAGTTTCTTGATACCTGTGATAATGGTCAGATAGAGCTAGGGTCAAGTTAGAGAACTATGAAAAGAATTCAGTTGCACCATAGGTGTTTTCCCACCCATGTTTGAGAGCTACTCACCCTGAGTTATGAAGTGCAGTAGAAGAATGACATTTCTGGCATGTTGGAGGTTATTGTGTGTAGCAAGATGTGTTTAGTATTGAAGTTTGGATTGAACTACGGTTTGCTTGCGTTTTAATGTCTCACTGAGTGATCTTTTTCTTAACCCCAGTATATCAGGTATGATTTAAAGATGGCAAGAAGGGCTTCTCTAAATATACAGGTAACAAAAGGAAGACAAACTAAAATGTGGGCCTATTGCTCAGTGAGATAAGGGACTTGATTGTGCAGGACATGGAGAAGGCTAAACTACCAAATGCCTTTTTTTTGCCTAGTTTTTACTACTGAGGCTGGAATACAGGAATCCCAGGTGTCAGAGACGAGGGGGAAAGGCTGGAGTAAGGAAGATGTACTGTTGGTGGAAGAGGATCACTTAAGCAGTCAGGGAATACTTGAGTGAAATGGACATATGTAGCTTTATGGACCATGATGGAATGCACCCATGAGTTGTGGGTGAGTTCCCTCTGCATGATGTCGCTGTGAGGTGACTGTGGGTAATCTTTGACTGATCATGGTAACTGGGAGCAGAGCCTAAAGACTGGAGTGATGTCACTGTACAATTAGATGCTAAGGACCACCAGGCTGTAAAGCAGCACTGGGAGGAAAGGATTTAGGGGAGGTGGCACCAAGCTTTCTTCCTTGTGATTGAAGTGGATGTGGAGACCCTTCACTGCTGGTGATAAGGTCACTGAAAACTGTTCTGTCCCTCCCTTAGGGCAGTGCTGTGCCTTGCATGTGGATGGAGAGAGCAGGTTATACCCTCTGTGTAGTGCCTGCAGGAGGAACAGCAGCTGCCCATTCTCAGTGAACCCCAAGAAGTCTGGGCAGTACATTGATTAGTTCATCTTGTCAGTCCTAGGCCTGGCTCCCACATCCATCCCTGTGAATCAACAGGCTTTTCCAGAAGACACCTGGACTAAAGTAGTGGGAATGTACAGTTACTGTATTCCTTCTGTCTGGGTATCTCGTGTATATGTTGAAAGCTGTTATAAAATAACTGTCCATGTTTTGGTGTTTCTTCTCTTTGATCCAGCCTGTTTTGTGTGCATTGGCTTTAATCACTGCCATGCTTCACTTAGCCTCAGTCCTTCATCTTCTTACACGTGGCAGTTTTCTTGGGTGTTCTCTATATCAAAGCTCTCTTCTATTAAAATGTCATTCTTTCTCTGCTATGAGCTGTTAGTAGACAAAAGTATTTGCATGGTAACTTTATAATGTGCACTGGAGGAAAATGGAGCTCTTGAAAGACTGTAGGAAGCAGAGCAAAGGATTGGATCCTCACAGACCTAACACTGCAAAACTGAACCTTTCCCTTGAACAGTAGCAGATTTGCCTCCTGCAGCAGCATGTGAGAGGGGAACACTGGGCAAAGAGCCACTGGCAGGCAGCAGATACAGAGCTTCTGATGCCAGTCAGATATTGTAGGATGCACACTGCATGGTGCAGGGTGATGGAGCATCAATAATACTCTCTTTCAGAAGAAACCAGATGAGTTCTGGAGAGAATTCATGTGTTTTTCATTTTGGGTGGGGGGAGCTAACTCATAACCAGCAGAATCTCTTACCTTACAGCTGTTGATAAGTTTCGTAGGAGCAGAAGCACTGAAGCCTGTGTATTGCCAGGCACTGTACTCAGACATAACATGGGGTAGTAGCTGCACTTTCTGTTCTGGAAGGAAAATGAAAGAGAAGTTGGGAGTGGAGAACAAAGCAGGAAGGTGATTTGCCTAAAATCATGCAGCTGGTTTGTGGCTGAGCTCGGTGTCTTTGTATCTGATCAGTAGTTCATACTTGCTATTCCTTTCATGTTTGGTCATAAGCTGTTTTCCTTAAGGCACAGCAGTGGAGAGAGGCAGAAACTAACTCCTGCCTCGTTTTTTGTCCAGGTTAAGTCCTGCTTCCTGACATTTGAAGAGCAAACAGCACCAGGGCTCCATGAATTGCAAAACTGCAACAAGTGTGGCAGCCCTACTTACCTCCAGCTTTGCTCCTCTACTGTGACATCCTTCTTGGGACCTTTGGTTTCATCCCCCCCTGCGGCTGCTTAGCAGGCTGCCTTGGCGTCAGAGCAGAGGCGGCAGCTAGTGGATCAGGACGAATTATGGCCTTGAGCTTGTATATCTTCCACCTCTTCTATAAGTTCAAAGTGTTGGTGCTTGTCACTTTGTGTTTGATGGTGCTATGGGCCACAGTCAATTACTATGTGGACTCCAGACAGGAAATGCCTAAAGCTAAGATCATGGTGGAGGATTTCAGGAAGGTGACTAGCCTGAAGGACAGTCAAAAGGAAGAGAAGATGGAATCTGTTACAGAAGTTCCTACAGTAAAATCACTTCAGGATGAGTGCCCAGCTCTGTCTCCGTACCTCAGTAAGTGATCCTGCTTTCCTGCCTTTTCTAACAAGTTATACCTGCTTTACAATTCCTGATTGGTTTTCTTCCTAGCTTTTTACAGTTGCACACTTTTCCTGTGAAACAAATACAACACAGCCAGTCCCAGTAAGCACTTCTGGGTGAGGAAGTGACTTACGTGCTGGGTCTGGCTGGGACAGCAGCCCATATGGTGTGGTGGTTTGCATTTGTGGCTCAAACAGCTTTGGTAACGCACCAGTGACTTGGCTCCTGCTGAACCATGTCTGCATGATGTTGAAGCTTGTCTCTGTCTTGGCCTCCTAGTATTTGGTAGGTTGTTGGTGGGCAAGAGGTTGGGAGTGGACACAGCAGGATAGCTGAGCTCAACTGACCAAGGGATATTCCATATGACATGACCATACCATTTCCCATCCTCAGCAATAAAAGGGTAGGGAAAGGAGGAAGCAGGGTGTTCATGGCTACAGTGTTTATCTTCCCAACAGCTGTTTCTTTTGGTCTTGGTATTGCGGGCAGCACCAGGCTTCTGCTCTGCACTATCATGTCACTGCTGCTTTCCTCTTCTTTTTGTGGACCTGATTAGGGATTTGTTTGGGAAGCTGGATTCTTCACTCTTCCCTGTTGTAGTCCAAAAAAGCTGCTGTCTCACTGCACACCCCCTTCCCTGCCCCAAAGATGTGTTTGCTTAAGTGAAAGCACTGCAGCTCTAGCCATCAGAGTGACCTGTGTTGTTCTCTTCAGTGGGTTTGCTGAGCCCAAAGGGGATGAAATGGTAGCTCAGTGCAAGAGAAGTGATGAAAATCTGGCTAGACGAAGCCTTGGTATGTTTTATCTTACCTTAAGCCTGTAATGGTTTTGTTCATGCTTTAAGTAGAGATGGCTTCTCATGGCCACAGTCCTATGTCTCTTTCCACTTCCTCCTCCTCTGCTTTGCCCTGGCAGCCATTTTGAGCCAATTCTCCTGCCATACGAACTTCTTTTGATTTTTTTTTTGATTATGATTTTTTTACCATCACTTTTAATCAATTTAAGCAACTAGACACTTGATGCTCTCTCCTCCACTGCCTGCATAATATCCTTGTAGTGCTACTTTTCTCTTGGAAAGTGAGGGAAACCAACTGGGGCTTGATCCTGGGTTTCTTATGCTGTTACAGAGTTAGATGCCTGGACTAGCTACAGTCAGAAATAACTGGGGAAAGCTTCTTGTGCTTCTCTTGCAGTTGGTGCCAGCAAACTCACCTTCAAAGCATCTCTCACACTAGAAGAAGTGCAAAAGGAGAACCCTCAGGTAGCCAAGGGCCGGTACCACCCTCCAGAGTGCGCAGCACAGCACCATGTGGCCATCATCATCCCACACCGCAACCGAGAGAAACATCTGCTGTACCTCTTGGAGCACCTCCACCCCTTCCTGCAGAGGCAGCAGCTGGACTATGGCATCTATGTTATTCACCAGGTGAGGCTGAGGTGTGTTTGGTGCTTGGGGGTGATGCTCTGCAGGCCAAGGAGACGCTTGCTGGCTAACACCAGTCCTCCAAGTCTGTTTCCAGCACCTGCTGAGGGATGCAGTGGTGCATGTGGCCATTGCTGGTACCACTGCAGGATCTCAGCTGCTGTTAGCAAAGCTGGAAAGAATTAACAGTGTTTTCAACTGGTGTCCATTTCTCAGTCTGAGTAACTTACTATTCCTAACTTATCATTCAAGGTTAGCATCTTTCCCGTTACTAATGCAGCTCACTTCTCCTGCAGCATACATGTAGTAACTATGCTGACATGTTTTCTGTCTTTTCATTTGGAGTCGTTTGGATCGAAGGCCTCAGTTTGTATCCAGCTTTACTCTCCCATCTGCTTGCTGGCTGTCATGTTTAGTAAGCTGTGTGTTGTACTCACTTCTGCCAGCTCAAACCAGACATGACAGCTACTGCTTTCAGGTGCTTTACTTGCTCAGTAAGGGCTGTGGGCAGAAGTACTCATGAGAAAGCAGTTGGTTCCTGAGAGCTTTATTAATTTCTTTGCATTCTTCCTAGTTTGCTGAGTCAACAGCTAAAATTTGCATATGCAGATTTGTGCTATGTTGATTTTCATCTAAGATACAGATTTCTCTTATGTAATATGTTGACTTTTTTTTTGATCTTTCATTGTTTGCTTTCTGTTGCTCTCATTTATTTATATGTTCTGCCTTGAATCTAAACAGATTTTGCAGACAGCATGAGAAAAAGGTGATAAATCAATAGAGTTTCTCTTCCCTTCTGTTCAAAGAGTCAGTCAGCAAGCATGAGGCAGTGCATTCGAGGTGAAAGCCTACAATTCTGCTCAGTGGCACAGGAGAACAGCAGCAGAAGTCATGGCAGGTTATATGCTTTGTCTGAATAGACTGGTCCTCCCTTGTTTAAAGTTGTCATGTGGCCCATAGAGTCGAGAAATTGAGGCTTTTTTCAGCCTTAGTGTGTAATCATATGTATAATGGCTCACTCCAGCTGTCAACCAAGTTAGGAGAATCATAGAATAGTTTGGGTTGGAAGGGACCCTAAAGCTCATCCAGTTCCAGCCCTTTGCCATGGGCAGGGACACTTTTCACTAGATCAGGTTGATCCAAGCCCCATCCAACCTGATTCTTTATCTCCTGAAATCTCTGAGGTGGAGAACAGCTGATGGCATATTAGCATAAAGAAGTAGAAGACTATGAAAGTTCTGTCTGATGTGAGCAGTAGTGTCAAGTCTGGACTTGTTCTGTCAGAGTTTTTTACTTTGAAGATTTGAAGCTTTGGCTTCCCTTTTCCATGTAGGTAGAAACACCCAAAACTGAAAAGTGGGTCTGACACAGCTCTTTGATGGCAAATCCATTTTCACTTTCCATTTGTGATGTCATTAGCTGTTTTAAGTATCTTTTGAGGAAAGACATAGTTAAAACCAGGATTTAACTATTAAAATACACAGAGTTGACTTGGGAGGAAGATTAAGAAATGGGTCTTCTGTATTTCTCTCTCTGAGCAATTGAAGGGCATACTCCAGCTCTCATTATGAGATAATGGTAACATCTTGAACATCACGTTGCTTTGCATAAATGTGTGCACAGGTGAGTGGAGTGCTGGAAAAAATGTGAGTTTATAATCCATGAAGGGCGAGTAATTTATTGCCCAACTTAAGTTTGTCTTGTGGTTGGTGTTCTCCTCCCATAGAAACAAAGGAAGACAATTCTTTTCTCAATAAAAGATGAGAGTAAACTTTGCTATTTGCTCAGCATGAGGTCTAACATGTAAAACTCCCTTCCTGGACAGTTGTTGTAGCTGGTGTTTGGCTGCCTTTGCACAGGAAGTGGGCAAAGGGAGGGGAGACACAACTGGACCAGATGGTCTGCGCTTCACCTGCTCTTGATACAAAGACAAGTGAAGTTCTCTGCATGTTCTTTGCCAGTCATCTGAATTGTTCTGGTCATTCAATAGTCTGTTTCCATCATCAGGAGAAGATTCTCTGATGGATGCTTTCATATACAGGACTCTTTAAAACAACCAACCAAACACTCAAAAACCCCTCACGCAGAAATTTGACCTCATATATTTTAGGGAATTTTATCTCATTTTTTCTTGGAAAATTCCTTCCCTGACTCAGAATGGAAGCAAGTGATGATCCCTCTCTTAATTTCTTGGAGTGGGCATTGGGCTGCATTTCCCTCATTGCAGGTATGGAGCCGTAAATCCCATAACTCTTTGTTCAAAGAGCAGATGGCTGTTAGTGATGGTGAGCAAATTGCTGCTTCAGAGCAAAACATTACCTTATAGAACAGTAAACCATGCTTTGTATACAACTATTTTCCCTCCAGTTAACTTTCTCTCAGCCTGGGGAGGCCAGATTCTATCTCATCTTTCACTGTGCCTCTCCCAGTCCAGGCACCTTCTAGCAAATGACCCCTTTCTCTTGAAAATTGCTTTTTATCTTTTGAGTACACTGAGTTCCCAGCTCTAGAAAATCATAGAATCATAGTTAGGGGTGGAAAGAACATTGGGATCACCCAGTTCCAACCCCCTGCCATGGGCAGGGGTGCCTCCCACTAGACCATGTCACCCAAGGCTTTGAGCAACCTGGCCTTGAACACTGCCAGGGATGGATCATTTACCACTTTTCTGGGCAACCTTTTCTATTGCCTTACCACCCTTACAGTAAACTTCTTCCTTATAAGAACTTCTTCATTATACCCATCCTGAACTTCCCCTATTTCAGTTTGAACCCATCACCCCTTGTCCTATCACTACAGTCCCTAATGAAGAGTCCCTCTCCAGCATCCTTGTAGCCCCCTTCAGATACTGGAAGCTGCTCTGAGGTCTCCACACAGCTTCTCCAGGCTGAACAGCCCCAACTTACCCAGCCTGTACAACAAGGCTAGTAAAAGTCAAGTGAAGCCCCATGCTAGGGGGAATCCTTGTGCAGCATAACAGTGAGGTTCTAGATGGGAGTTAAAAATGAAGAGACCTGCTTTTTATTTTCTAGTCTGCCACCTACTGTGTGAGCTGAGGAAATACAGTGAATTCTTCAGGCATTGCTGTCCTCTGAACTGCAGAACAAGCATAAATCATCTGTGGCAGGTGCTCTGATGTGGATAAACTCATGAGAATGGGAGTAATGTGCTTTGGGTTTGGCTTTTTTAAACACCTTCTATAACCTTTGCTGACACACTGTATAGGGCACCAGTTTCTAAGCTGTTTACTGGTACCTCTTTGTCATTTCTAAGCTGTTACTGTTACCTGTATGTTATGCTATGTATGTACCTACATGCATCCAGAACTCTGGGATGGGAACAGCAATAGTAGTGAGATTGTGTCATCCAGGATGCATATTCCTGGTGCCCAGAAAACCACAGACTCTCCTGGCCCTGGCTCTGTTTGTTCATGACAAGCAGAGATGGAAGAAGCTCTCTGTGTCACTGGCCTCTGTGGTGCTGTAGCCAGTGCTATGGGCCAGCTCTGTGTGTGGTTACTGGCTGGAAGATGCAGCTGTGAATTATATGATCAGAACAAATATCTGTGAGCAGTTCTGGTTCTAAAGGTTTGACACCTTCTTCAGAGGTTTTCTCCCTTCTCTTCCACAGGCTGGCAGCACCAAATTTAATCGTGCTAAGCTGCTGAATGTAGGATACCTAGAGGCCCTAAAAGAAGCTAACTGGGACTGTTTCATTTTCCATGATGTGGATCTGGTGCCAGAAAATGACTTTAACATTTACACGTGTGGCCCCGGACCAAAGCACTTTGTAGTTGGCAGGAACAATACTGGATACAGGTAGGAAACCAGGAATATGGAAAAAATACCAGTTGGGAAATGCCATGTAACTGTTAATGTTCCTCTTCTGTTGGAGCTCTGTGCTGTATCTACCCCTTTTCCTGACACCAGGTTTCTGGTGGTAACACTTCATCTCTCTGGAGTGCCCTTGGCAAAATAGAACTGTATGGGCATCTCTTAAATCAGCTCCATGGTTACCTGTACAGGTGATCATTGTAATCCTTCTGGTTTCTGGGGTGAGGTAAACGGTGTTCCAAGAAGAAAGCAACATGCCAGAGGTTGTGCAGAGACCTGTCAATGCTAGAAATACATTTGCAGTTCCCTGGTCCTCTGGTTTGAGGGTGTGATCTTGCTATAGAAAAACTTGCCACTTGCCTTTTGCTGTTGAAGAGGGAACATCTGATGTGGAGAGCTCAAGTATGAGAATATGCCCAGGGATAGGGTTGTATTTAATGACATGGCTGGGCAGTGTCTCATACAGGATCAGTCTGGGTTTGCAATGGGTCCCCTAAATGTCAGCGTGATGTGAAAAGTCAGGTTCAGTCTACTTCAGAGAAGAAAAGGCTCCCAAGTCTGGTGAGTTTAATGACCAGAGTATTTCCATTGAACTTGTTTCTTTTAAGATTTGCCTCCTATGTCATGTCATCTCAATATTAACTCCAGGTGGGCTTTTCAGAAGCCGATCTCTGTGTGCTTTGAAGCAAAGCTCTGCTTCACTTGTGGGTTTCCTTTCTTAAATATATGAGAGAGAGGTGGGGTGTGCAAATTCTTATGCAGAATACCATTCACTTCTCAGTCATTTAGTGCAAACTGGAGCACTAAATGACTGAACTAGGCTTGTGACAGGCTTTTGGAGCACTCTGCCTTGCAGACAGAATGCTGAGGGCTATGGAATGGTCAGTGCACCAAAGCAACAGAAACACTGCTTTGGGTAATGCACAGGCATGTAGAATCCAGGCTGATAACATGGCACAAAGCTTGAGGTGCTTTACTTAACCTTCTGTGCCTCAGTTTTACCGCAAGTGTTCTGCTTAGTTAAGCAGATGGATTCTTGCTTTTACTGCAGGATCCTCTTGCTATAGATTTCCTCAGGTTTCTGCTGCTTTTGGAAAGGAACTGTTAGTAGTTACAGGCTTCGTTTTTAAAGAGTACTTAAAAGAGTACTTTGAAGAGTATAAAGGTTTAAGCTTTGTCTTTAAAGGGTACAGACAAAATGTTGTTGTGAATACTCTGCACCAGTATTCATTGGGGTACTGCTGGTTTGAGTTTGATTCATACTTTCTTTTCTGTGTCACTGCCTCTGTTCACATCCATGAAGTGGGCATAACAGCACTGTATTTCCAAAGGAATTCCTGGGTACATCTGAAGGAATTCAGATCCTGAACTGAGCTGAGACCTGGGGTTGAAAACCCATTTGGGTGACCTCAGTGTTTTGCTTAGGTTGAGGTGAGCATACTGAGAGATGTCACTTAGATGTGTGGAAGTTGTACATGTTCTGCATTAACACACAACATCCTGGGCAGGAATGTGGGTGCATCATCTATGGTGATGCAGTGTGTGGTAATCTTGGCAGCTTTGGAGAGTCAGTACCTTATGTTTAGTTACACAAACTACAGGTTTAGATGCTTCAGAAAGGAAGGCTTCTATACTAAAATTTTAAAGGTGGTCACATACTAGAAGAGGCTGCCCAGAGAGGTTGTGGAGTCTCCATCCTTGGAGATGCTCAGAACCTGAATGGACCTGGTCTTCAGTGACTTGCTGTAGGAGACCCTGCTCTGAGCAGAGGGGTTGGACTGCTTCATATCCAGAGGCCCCTTAACCTCTGCAGTTCTCTTTTGATGCTATGACAGGAGCACAAATCAGCCAACAAAATTGGTCTGAGTTTGGTTTCTGAGTTTGGTCTTGGTTTGGTTTCTTTGTTGTTTCGTGTGTGTGTGTTTAAATTAGAAATAGGAGTAAGCATCACACCTCTCCTTGCCTGGCATATAAATTGCCATCATGGGTATTTTCTGGCCCTGGCACTTTGTTCACCTCTTTGTATTCACATCCATCTAGCAATCCAAATTCAACCTGCAGCCATGCGCACATCACCCCTGGCAGTGGCAGTGTAGTAGGGGCTGTGTTGTACTGCTCACCTTAAGGGCCCAGAAAGGGGAGGGTATCATAAACAGCAAGTAGCAAAATGGTGTAAGAAGATAAACATGGTATGTAAATATCTTTTAGAGCAGCTGCAGTTCCCAGGACAAAGAAGGTAGAAGTCAGAACTGAATCTCTTTTAGAGCTGAGCACCATTACAATAGGTTACTTAGCATCTCGCACTGTACCTTACCTTGGAGTTGTTCCTGCAGTATCCCAGGGCATGTGTACCTGTGCTGTGATCTGGTTTCATTCCAGGTTTCTCAGCTTCAGCTCCAACGTGGTCAGTGGCTTCTGTCATTATTGCAGAGCTTCTGCTATGTGAGTGTGTGACTTTGTTCCTTTTGTACTCATGGAAGTCCTTGAGGTGAAGTGCTGTTTGCCTGGCAAGTGGAATTGTGTGAAGAGAGAAACTGTTGAAGAAGGAATTGTTCTCTCAGTTGGAGAGTTTAATCTTCCAGGCCTAGAGAAAATCACCATCCTCTTGTGAAAAGAGGAAGACAACCAGAGCAACCTCATGGGTTTGTGCGCCCTCAACTCTGTGAAAGACGCATCTAAAGCCAGAGTTTCAGAAGACAATTCAGAGTTTCAGGGTGAGGTTTTTGTTGTTGGTAGAATTTGACTTTTAATTCTTCATTCTCTCCTCTTGTGTACTTCTAGGTTACGGTACACTGGCTATTTTGGAGGTGTAACTGCTCTAACAAGGGAACAGTTTGCCAAGGTGAATGGATTCTCTAACAACTACTGGGGCTGGGGTGGAGAAGATGATGACCTTCGAATCAGGTAAGAAGTCAATCATGTAAGAAAATTCAAGTTAGATATAAGGCAGAAGTTCTTTACTGTGAGAGTGGTGACACACTGGCACAGGCTGCCCAGAGAAGTGGTAATGCTCCATTCCTGGCAGTGTTTTAAGGGCAGGTTGGACAGAGCCTGTCCATGGTCTAGTGTGAGGTGTCCCTGCCCATGGCAGGGGTTGGAACTTAAGGTTCTTTCCAACCCAAACCATTCTGTGAAATAAAAACCTAGAGAGAAATGATGCCTAAAAAAATAGAAATGGATGTAACTTCCCAACTGGCCCCCAAAGGCAAAACATGACAGGAGCTCTCAGTTCCAAACAGTGGGCTGCAGGATGCTGTTCTGTGCACAGTTTCCTCTTTGCCAGAGACCTCGTCCTCTTCCTGACAAGTATTTCTGGTTGGGTGCAGGGTTTGTTAGGTTTTGGGTTGGGGTTCTTTTTGGTTGGGTTGGTTTGGTGTTGTCACAGCTAGACGGGATTTGCATTGTCACTTGGATATTGGTTATAACAGAAGTAGGAAGATTGAAGTCTGGAGGGTGATTTGCCGAAGAGACACAAATGTATTCAGTTCCAATGCTTTGTAAGAGTGTGGGAGGGCTTTGGTTTGGTGGGATTGGGTTTTTTGCATTCATTGACTACCACGATTTACTCCAAGCACAGCTTAGTTTGTATGTGGGTGGTGTTGATTCTAGTTAACACAGTGAATAGCTTGAATTTTAGAAAGACTGCATCTATCTGCATGTGCCTTTTGTTCTTGTGAAATCCAGTTTTGCAAATGGGCCTTTCAAAGTAGGAGAAACCTGTCAGTTTGAGAAGTTGAATGGCACAAAGGACTCGACCTAATTTTTCTGGTGATCTTTTGCCCTTTGCTTAGAAGGAAACCTCTAATCCTGCTTTGCTGTTAGTGAAGGAAGGGGAGGGGGGCAAACAGAACACAAACCCAAAAGGAATAAACAACCCCCTAAGCTCTGCTGGCAGAGCACATCTATTTGTAGCTTAAACCTACATTGTTCTTCAGTGTTTATCCTTTTCATTTGCTTAAACCAAACATTTTAGGGACATAAATTCATCTCTCTGGTGATGTTCAATGATTACACTGGTGAAATCAAGTGTGTTAAGAGTTAGGAACTTCCAAATGGAAGTTTCCCTCTGTATCAGGCAGCTGTATCTCGGGAAATGTAAAAGGACTACTGGAGGCCTGGGTTTCTGTCACTTCTTAATCACAGCTGGGTTTTTTTTTTCTTCTCCCTACTCCTATTTAGAGATACCAACTTCTCTTAGGAGCTGGCTTTTATAGTGGTAGGGGATGGCTTGGTACCATCTTATTCCCCACCTTTGCAGGAAGTGTCCCAGTTAAGGTGCAAACAAAGGTGATGGTGGTGGTGGTGTTTCAGATGTTGCTGTGAGCAGCAGACCAGCAAGATTTACTGAGGGTCTCCACCATGTTTACAAGGGGTTTGGAATCAAATGTGATGCTTGCTTGTGTAAGCAAGCAAGCTACTAGAAAGCACTCAGCTTTCTAGTAGGGAATGAGGAGCCGCTGTCCCGGTGGGTGGCTGTGCAGGGATCCTGCAGCCTTTCCCAGCAAAGGCAGCAGATGGCACCATCCCCTTCAGTATCTTGAAGAACCTGGGGCCTGAATGCTCTCAGGTCCTGCTGTTCTGAGTGTGATGGGCTCCTGTGGGCCCTTTCCAAAGCTGTGCATCACAAGGAGATTTTTCAGATAATTTGTTGTATTTATTTGATAATTTACTGTTACAATCAAGTCATTGGAAACCTCTCAGGGGCTCAGTTTCTTACAGGCTGGATAGATGGGCTGTGGCTAATAGTATGAGGTTCAATAAGGCAAAGGTCCAGGTCCTGCTCTTCGGCCACAACAACCCCATGCACCGCTCCCAGCCTGGGGAGGAATGGCTGGAAAGCTGCTCATGGAAAAAGACCTGGGGGTACTGAATGACAGAGCTGAACATGAGCAGCTTGTGCCCAAGCAGCCAAGAAGCCAACATCATTGTGGCCTGTATCAGCAGTAGCATAACAAGCAGGGCCAGGGCAGTGATTGTCCCCCTGTGCTGGGCAGTGGTGAGGCTGCACCTCGAATCTTGTGTTCAGTTCTGGGCTCCTCACTGCAAGATAGACACTGAGGTGCTGGAGCGGGGCCAGAGAAGGGCAGTGGAGCTGGTGCAGGGCCTGGAGCACAAATGTGATGGGAACGGCTGAGGGGCCTGGGGAGTTTAGTCTGGAGAAGAGAAGGCTCAGGGGGACCTTATCGCTCTGCAGCTGCCTGACAGAATGGAGTGAGGTGGGGTTGATCTCTGCTCCCAAGGAACAAGTGATGGGACAAGAGGAAACGGCCTCAAGCTGCACCAGGGCAGGTTTAGACTGGAGCTGAGGAACAATTCCTTCCCCAGAGGGTGCTCAGGCATTGGAACAGGCTGCCCTGGGCAGTGCTAGAGTCACTGTCCCTGCAAGTGTTCATACACTGTGTAGACGAGGCCCTCAGTGCCATGAGTTAGTGGTGGCCTTGGCAGTGCTGGGGAACGGTTGGACTGGATGAGCTTAAAGGTCTTTTCCAACCAAGTTGATTCTAGGATTCTTCAATTCTTGGTTTCCTCTTGCTCCCCCAGCTGCTGACATGACCGCAAAGACCTGGGCTATTCCTTAATTCTAGTCATGAAGTTAACCCCTTCTGCTGACAGAGCAAAACTCCTGTGCTCCAAAGATCTGTTAAAGCTCAACAGCAGCTCCAATTGAGTTCCTGATGTCCAACACTTAAATCCATGTGTGGGACTCAGGGTTTCTGGCAGCATTCTCAGGACTTTTTCTTCATGTAGACAAATACAAGTTTTGCAGCTCTGTGCCAGTTAGTGAAAAAGAAAATGAAGCTTTTTTGGGTGTAGTTTTTTTTTCTCCCCTTTTCAAGGGGAGAGCTATCAAGTGTAAAGGTTTTATGGCAAGAGTTGAGATGAACTTGCTGCAAAGCATGTGGGATCTTGCTACAGCCCTCCCAGGCTAATACAGGGTAGTACACACTAGACAAGACTATACTATTTTAAATGTGCTCTGTTTTCAGTGTGTGCTTTAAGCTCTTCATGACCTACTGTAGTAGCTACCTGCTACCAAAAGAAAGGGCCATCTGTCACCCTGCTGGGTCTGTTCTCCAGAAACACAACCCTCAGCCCCATTTCTCTGGCAAGATGGGTGTTGGAGGAAATGTAGATGAGTTTCCTGCTGTTCTCTGTGCTTGATTCCATGGCATCCACAAGAGATGAAGTCTCCAAATGTTGTTTCTCTTTTCCTTGGGAGTTTGTTTCTAGGTGAGGCCTTGCTCATGGCACTATTGCTTCTTCCAGGGTTCACCTGCAGAAGATGGGAGTGATGAGGCCACCTGCGGAGGTAGCCAGGTATACAATGATCTTCCACAAGCGAGACCATGGTAATGAGGAGAATGAAGAGAGGTGAGTCAGGAACAGGGTTCCACTTTCCATCCTCTTAGTATGTGGCCAAGCACCTGGGGCCAAGAGCTTTGTTCTAGGCCAAATGGACATTTTCATGTCTGATTTTTCCATACTGAAGACAGGAAAAAGCATAATTTTATGTTGCCAGCAGTACAGAACAGCAGTAGCTCTGCTTCCAAGTTTACTAGTAGTGGGAAAAGAGCTCAAAACACCTCTCCTGTGCATGTCAGTGAAGATTTTCTCCTCTTTCTTCTCAGGATGAAGCTTCTAAGTCAAGTATCTAAAACATGGAAGACAGATGGACTGAACTCCTGTTCATATAAACTGCTCTCAGTGGAACATAACCCTTTATACATCAACATCACAGTGGACTTCAGCATGCAGCCCAAGGTCTCATAAGGATGGGCAACACACAGGATGTGAAAATGGCAACAGATCTTGTTTGCTTGAAAGAGGACTTCAGTAACACAGGAGAGTCTTTCTTCACAGTCTGATTGATTGGGAATTCCCTTTTGTGAGGGCTGGAGCCATGGGACCGATCCTTGTGTTTTGCTGGGACATTCACAGAACCGTCCTTGTTTGGGATGGGCCAGTGGAAGGATGTGAACCAAGTCTCACGGAAAAAACACTTGTTCTTGGATCTATTCCTAAACTTCTTGTGGGCTTCGTAAAGGCACAGGAGTCCTTCACCAAATAACAAACTTGCTGAGGAAAGCTGCTTTTTTTTCCAGCCCGAGGAAAAACTGCCTGTGTGTGAGGGAAGGAATAATGGTCGGGGTGAGATCTCTCAATAAATACACTCCATTGACTGCAAAAGGCTTCTGTGTTTCATGAGCTGAGCTCACCCTGGTGTGGGATGGTGGAAGTATCCCGTGTCAAAACAAGTCTTGGTGCTGTGCGTTGCATGTTACTTTGGAGAGATGTGGAAGGAGATGCAGTGGCTAAGTCAGAGGGAGAGAAATTCCTGGCCCTGGTTCTAATGCTCTGGGCCAGACTGTAGTAGACCAGACCCAGGCTGTTAGTACTTGTGATTCTGGTTTTAGAGGACTGGTAAGAGTCTATGGATAACTGTTCCACAGCACTTCTAAAGTCCTGATGAGAGTGCTTCCCTTTCCTTACAGCATTATATACCAGACTGTCCTTACCCCTGCATGTCAGATGTGCACCCATTAGTGACAGATGTGAAGCCAGGCTTGGGAGAGTTTCATCTAGGACACAACACATGCCAAAAAGGAACTTCTGCTTTACATACTGAAGAGTTACGTCCAGCTGGTTGCCCCATTACTCCACCTGCAGAAACAACTGAACCTTTAAGTAAGTTCTTGGGTGTTAGTGGGGATAGATGCAGCTTTTCAGCAAACAGGGGTTTTATTATCTACATGTAACAAGCAAAACTACCCAGTGCGATGCTTGCACAGTAACAGGAGCTGTGTAGAGGAGAGACTGTAGAAAGGGCAAGGCCTTGGCCACTCAGTAAGTGCAAGTACATTCCTGCAGTGTCCCAACTCCACTCCTGGCATGCTTGACTTTTTCCTCAAGTATTTAATTTCTCAGAAGTCTTTTATGTTAAAGACAGCTCAACCTTGAAATATACTTCATGTTTGAGCCACAGCTGAGTTACTGGATTCATTTCCCTGCTCTGAGCAGGAGGTCAGGCTTGGTGGCAGCCTCAGCTCTCATTCACCCTCAAGTCCTCACAGTTACAATAAACACATTTCACAAGTGCTGGAGCAGGCAAGAAAAGAGCTTTCTCCTTTATTACACTCTTGGTAAATATCCTAGAAAAATCTGAACCCAAACACAACTCCATTTGACTCAAATTCACCAGATATTTACAGAACTTAAGTATAGAAAGTGGTTAAAATACAGCATGTCACATGCCAGAAGAACTTTTATCCCAATCACCATTTAAGTACAAAGCAGGACAGAGCCATCCAGCTCTGGAACAAAGGTTCCAGACAACTTGGGTAAGGAGAGCTTGATCCCTGAGGGCTGGGAGGTGGCTCTGGCTCAGGAGTTAGTTTTACAGTGTACAGTAAGCCCCAGCCTGGTTATTTGCTGTCATACCCTATTCCTGAAGCCTCTTCTTCTAACTTGTACCCAGAAGAAAAGACAAACGTATGAAAGACAAAAGGATTAGTCTCAGGTGAGACTGCCACCAGGAGGTAGAGGCTGAAGGCTCACATGCACGCTGCCATACTGCACCCAACCGACCTCTTTTCTTTCCATTCCCCTAAGAGAAGGGGGGAACATAACCAATGTCCACAGTGATGTTGGTGTAAAGAGGATGCTTTGTCCTGGAGAGGAGCTTGAACTCTAATGAATTCATTCCATCATCTTTCCATGTTTTCCTGGTGTTGTGGTGGGAAGCGGGCCTGAGAAAGGAAAAATAACGAGAAGAACAAAGGTGATGTTTGCAGCTGAAGAAACAGTTTTCCAAGGGCTCAGCAGGTAAAAGCTGCTACCAGAAAAGCCCCAAGAAAATTCTTCTTGTATAAAATAGAGGCTAATACTAATTCATAATCCAGAGAGAAGGCACTTTGCAAGACTGAACAGATCAGATTAAGTTCACTCTGAGTATTCTAAACATGGAGGGCAATGCGGACTGGAACCTAATGAGCCAGGGAGACCAGTGAGGGGACAACTACAGCCTGAAAGCAACCAGGAACCAGCAGCAGCTTAGCAAGAGCAGGGTGTGCGTCACAGGCCTCAGAGCAGTGATGTACACAGACTGCTGTAGGTGGGGTTTAAGACAGGGCTGCTATGGAAACTTAGGGTTTGAGATAATAAAGGGAAACTTTCACCACACTTGACCCAACACCCTCTTCCAGCTCTTAGATACAACTGTGTTTTTGCTAAGATCTCTCACAACCCCTTCCTCATGTCTTCATACTACACTACTGTTTTCCAGCATTTTAACAGCACATTGTAAATCCACAGATTGAAGAGCAGGTTTGTATAATAGGGAAGTTGTAACAAAGTGCCTCTTCACACTAAACTCTCCCTCTTTACAAGAAAGGCAGTATTTTCTTTCCCAAGTTTTAAGCATCAAATCACCTGGGGAATAAATCTGACATGTATGAGCTTCCTAGCTAGCATGTGTCCTTAACCATAGGAAAAACAAGGAGGAAACCACGAGAAACCCTTCAACACAGACTGTCAGTTGCAACAGAATCATTCTGCTCCTGGGAGACTCCTCTAAATAGCCACATGAAAGCAGAAAGACAAGCAGTGGCATTAGACAAAGTGACACTTACTGCCTGTTTGGAGGCAGATGATGGCACCAAGGCAGAGAACAGCCGCCAAACTCCACACACCACCATCCCCAACACTTACCTTCCCCAAGGCTCTTGTGTCTCTGCCCCTTTGTCATAGTCCATCACTTTGTAGCGTCCGAGGTGACGTGGGGTCCGGACTATTTTCATTCCTGCCAGCTGAATCCTTTAAAACAACAAAGGAAGTGGTTGCTTAGGCATAAAGATGCCATTTCTAGGCTTAGTTATAGGGGAATGCAAACCCAGGGATGATTTGCAGTGTTGATGCAGGAAAAGCAAAAGGCTGAAGGGAGTGGGTTTAACACCACAGTGCCATGTTATCTTCTCTAGCAAGTCCTACCCAGGCTTGGGCTGGAATGCTCCCAACTACAGGGTGCTTTGACAGTGTACAGAGAGGATTATAGCAAGCAGGGAATGAACAACAGCACAGAGAGCATTCTAGAGCTATCCCCTTCAATCTGACAACTGAGCATGATTCTCACTCCCTAGCAAGAGCAGAGCTTTCACTGCCTAGGCTTCCATCACTGAAATGAAAACAAACCCAACAGCCAAATCTGAAGTTCCTGAAAGGAAGCCAGTGCTGAGTTTCAGGTCATAGCATCACAGACTGGTTCGGGTTGGAAAGGACCTTAAGCTCATCCAGTTCCAACCCCCTGCCATGGGCAGGGACACCTCACACTAGACCATGTCACCCAAGGCTCTGCCCAACCTGGCCTTGAACACTGCCAGGGATGGAGCATTCACCACTTCTTTGGGCACTCTGTGCCAGTGCCTCGCCACCCTCACAGTAAAGAACTTCTTCCTTATATCTAACCTGAACTACTTCTGTATCAGTTTGAACCCATCACCCCTTGTCCTATCACTACAGTCGCTGATGAAGAGTTCCTGATAAGTCTCCCTCTCTTTGAGAAGTGCCATTCATTCGGATGCTCTGGTATGTGATAACCAGAGGCACCAGCCAAACCAAGGACAGCCACTCAGCTGCAGGGCTGATAAGAACAGAGTGAGCTGGAGGCTCAGAATTCCAGAGGAGAGCTCAACCCCAGCATTTCAGATGCTGTAACCCATTGCTGATGGCACCTATGGTACTTTACGAATCCTGAGTGCCTGCAGCAGTGCTAAGGCCAGCAAACCTCCATCATCACACCCGTGATCCTAAGAATGAATGTTTGCTCAACTGCGGTCACCTCAGTGGCATGTTTGCAACACGTGTACCAGAGCTGGTAAAGCAGTGAGCTGCACTGAACCTGGAATGCTGCAGAACTGGCACAGGCCACAGAACTGAAGGGATCTGTTAGTCTGGAGCCATCACATGACGACAACATCGACAGTGTGACACGCTGTCATTTCAGACTGAGTTTTAGACAAGGCTTGTTTCCTGAACATAAGGAGATTCAATCAAAGAGACAAGAAGAAGCACAAACACTAAACTAGCTTTGCTGTTACTGGCTTTGCATTACAAGATTCAACTCAAACCATAACATAAAAGAGTCAATACATTCATTTACTGTTAAGAAGAACCCAACAGACCTCCCTGGAGCTGATAATGTTAACCCCTAAGTGCTACCAGTTTGAGTAGTGTTTTCTTCTAAAACTAGGCAGATCCTGGTGTTTGCTAAGACAAGCAGAGTACTGCATTTCAGTGTCCAAACAGTCATTTTGTTGCCACATGGTAAGAAGTGTGTGAGCATCCTCTAAAATCCAAATCCCAGTAGGTGCATCGAGTTAGTCATTCAAGACCAGGCAGCTCATTCCAACTTAGAATCACAGAATCAGCTCAGCTGGAAAAGACCTTTAAGATCATCAAGTCCCATCGCTTGCTACCTGGGAGACTGACCCCACCTCACTCCATCCTCCTACATCCTAGTTGTAGAGAGCAATAAGGTCCCCCCGAGCCTTCTCTTCTCCAGACTAACCCCCCCTCAAAAGGTGCCTCAGCTATTCCCTCATCACACTTGTGCTCCAGGCCCTCCACCAGCTCCACTGCCCTTCTCTGGACCCACTCCAGCAGGCTGAGGCCGGATAAATCATTAACAGGCACTGCCCCGGCCTCTGTGTACCTGTGGCCACCACAGAGCTAATCATTAGTGTGAACCTTCAGAGAAACACCACAGGATTTACTCCCCTTCACAAAAGGGCTATTTGGAGATGTACATAACCTAAGGCAGCCATGACCGTCACGGTACCGAAAGCCATGTTAAGTGCCTCAGCTGTACCAAGAACAGCTGAATAGACCCATGTTTGATGGATGGATCTATTTCCCCAGCATTCCATTCATTTAGGAAATGCTGAATCTCTAAACAATCCTACACCCTTTTAGTTAAGCTTCGTCTGA